TCCGGCCTCACCCCTGGATTGGGCGACTGACGGCTGCCGGTCACCCCTGCCAGCCGGGCACTGACCTCTCGTTCTCCTGCTCGGAGCCCACCTGCCCGCTGCCTTCGCCCAGGGTCGTGGGAGAAGAATCCCCAAACGATTCGTGGTAACAGCCCCACCTGCGGTCACGTTGTGAAATAAGGACACCGGCTGGACTGCTTCTGCCTGAGCGGCCAGCAGCTGAGGTCAGAGAGCTGCAGGGACTGGGCCCGAGGGCTCTTCTAAAGCTGGAGCAATGCCCTAACCGGTTTGGCTCAGTGGACAGAGCCTCGGCCTGCGGACTGAAGGGTCCCAGGTTCGATTCCGGTCAAGGGCATGTACCTTGGTTGCGGGCACATCCCCAGTAGGGGGAGTGCAGGAGGCAGCTGATCGATGTTTCTCTCTCATCGATTTTTCTAACTCTCTATCCCTCTCCCTTCTTCTCTGTAAAAAATCAATTAAAAAATATATATTTTAAAGCTGGAGCAATGGCAGCAAGTGGTGGTTGATGGGGAAGCCAGGGCCTGGGGCCACAACCAGGGGAGTGGCCGGGGGGCTGCAGCCGGGCTCTGGGGAGCAGGCGGCAGGATGGGGTGCCCTGTGCTGCAGAAGGGGGTTAGGCCTGGGGACCGGGTTAGGGTCGAGCTCTCTCTCAGATCCCGGAACCCCTCCGGCTCCGATGTGCATGCCTGCCCGGCCCCAAGGCTTCCTGCTGTTGCACACAGGGCCCGCCCAGGAGGGCGCAGCGGAGGCCACACCTGAGCAGGCGAGGGGCTGGGGGTCCGCCCCCTTGGGGGCCACGAGCTCTCAAAGGCCCTGTTAGCAGAGCTAACAGCCAGGCTGCAGCTGGCAGTGAAGGCAAACACCGTCAGTAACGCGTCTGCCACAGCGGCCCCGATGGTGGTGGTGATGGGGGCACAGGCCGGGGACAATCGGCGCTTTCCCTGCTCACGGGGCCTCCTGCGCCTACTCCATCTGCAGGGAGTGCCCCCCAGGCCTGGGGCGGGGCCCCTGCAGTGCAGGCACCTGCCCCCAACAGCTGACGGGTGGACAGAACGACCTATGAGGGGAGGCCTGAGGCTGCTGCTGGGGCAGGGGGTGCAGCTGGAGCGAGGACAGACCTGGAGGACAGCCATCTCCACATGGAATGAAGTGGGCCATGCAGGGAAGAAGGGCGGGACCCCTGAGGGGGGCAGAGCCCTGGTGGGCCGCCCCGAGGCCTTGGGCCCTGGCCAGTTGGCGGATAGACACAGCACAGCAGGGGTTATGGCCAAGGGCCGCTGGCTGCGGGCACCGCACACCCTGGGGCTGGAACAGCGGGCAGGGCGTGGGGTGCCATCTAGCTGGCTTGTCTGTTTCCAGTCGGGGACAGTAAGACTGAGGACACAGGACCGCCACCCGGGGCGAGTGGGGGTGTGTCCCTAACGGGTGACCCACAGGCCCGCCGGCGTCGGGAGACGAGGGATCGTGCCCAGGCCTCGCCTGGGTCAGAGGGAACTGAGGCTGCTCCCTTCCCTAGGTCGCTGCTGCCTGGGTGTCGCCGAGGGGTCTCGGCGCCCGGCCGCGCGGACCCACCTGCAGGGCGGCGGCCGTGGCCTCCAGGAGCTGCTCTGCACTGTCCTTCTCAGGCTTAAACCGGTCCAGCTGCTCGATCACAGTCTCTATGCATTTCCCGTGGTACCCCATCTTCCCGGGAGGTGCCCTGCAAGCAAACCGTGCAGGTCACACCCTCCGCGGCCTGCCAGGACCCTCACCCACACGGACAGGAGGCCGCTGGCGGCCCGGCCCCCC